TTGATTGTTGAGTCACACACACCACACACACACACACACACACACACACACACACACACACACACACACACACACACACACACACACACACACACACACACACACACACACACACACACACACACACACACACACACACACACACACACACACACACACACACACACACACACTTTAGTTTAATATCTTTATGCACCCCATACCCATCCTGTGGGCGGTAGCAAGTGTAGTCCATATGACATTGTATAAGGGCTGGACATAGGGTTCTGCGAGCCTCAGTGGGCTCAGTATTAATTAAATTAGGTGGATCTGTATGATGGGGAAGGTTGGTAGATACATAAGCATTCAGTACATTCAGTGCAGAGTAGTCAGTATGTACCTGAATGTTATGAAACTGGAATTTATCAAGGTTTGAGAACTCCCAGTTCCCCGGGAGGTGGGCAGAAGGGCTCAGTACAGCTTGTGTCGTGGTGGCCCTTGACAACCACAACAACAACAAAATCAAAATTTATTTGTGTCCAGGTTTGTGTCAGGCAGTCGTCCAGAGAGGACGTTCTGCACCAGCTTGCGTTGAGCGTCGATGTCTCGTGCTTGCCTGAGCATCAGTCACAAATTTTCCCTGTTCTGCTCAGTTTTAGCCAGCTCCATTTTTCCGGTCTGCGGATAATTTTGTGACCCGTAGGCGTCCCGTAGCTGGTAATTAATATTTGCACCGATAACTCATTACAGTTGTGACCGGGTGTGGACGTGTGAATTGCTCATTACTTTATAATTTGTTCATGATTGTAACCATGTATAAACGAAAGTAAGTAAATAAATTTACTTACATGATTCATTACTTTGTAACTTAACATAAGAACATAAGAACGAAGGAACACTGCAGAAGGCCTACTGGCCCATGCGAGGCAGGTCCAAGTCTCCTACCGGCTTAAGCCAATGCACCCAACCTAGTCAGGTCAGGTCACATTGACTTAAGGGAGGAACACGGCAACCGACCTGGTAGCACAAGCTATCAGGTCTAACTCACACCCACCCACATCCACTCATGTATTTATCCAACCTATTTTTAAAGCTACACAACGTTCTGGCCTCTATAACGGTACTTGGGAGTTTGTTCCACTCATCCACAACTCTATTACCAAACCAGTACTTTCCTATATCCTTCCTGAATCTGAATTTTTCCAACTTAAAACCATTGCTGCGAGTCCTGTCTAGGCTAGATATTTTCAGCACACTATTTACATCCCCTTTATTTATTCCTGTCTTCCACTTATACACCTCAATCATATCCCCCCTAATTCTACGTCTTTCTAGAGAGTGCAGATTCAGGGCCCTTAGTCTATCCTCATAGGGAAGGTTCTGATACATGGGATCATCTTTGTCATCCTCCTTTGTACATTTTCCAGAGAATTTATATCCATTCTGTAATACGGTGACCAAAACTGTGCAGCATAATCTAAATGAGGCCTAACCAAGGATGTATAGAGTTGAAGAACAACCTGAGGACTCCTATTATTTATGCTTCTTGATATGAAGCCAAGGATTCTATTAGCTTTATTGCAAACACTTATGCACTGTTGTCTTGGTTTCAGATTACTGCTAACCAGAACTCCTAAATCTTTTTTCGCAATCCGTAATATTAAGATCTACATTATTTAGTTTATATGTGGCATGGTTATTGTCCTGTCCAATATTTAGAACTTTGCATTTGTCTATATTAAACTGCATCTGCCACTTCTCCGACCACTGCATCAGTCTATTCAAATCTTCCTGGAGTGCTCGAATGTCCTCGTCAGAATGAATTCGACGGCCTATTTTGGTGTCATCGGCAAACTTGCCGATGTCGCTCTTTATGCCCTCATCTATGTCGTTTATGTAGATTGTGAACAGCAGGGGGCCCAACACTGACCCCTGTGGAACACCGCTCGTGACACTTCCCCACTCTGATTTCTCCCCATTTATGCAAACTCTCTGCTGCCTATTTGTCAACCATGCCTCTATCCAGGAAAAAATTTCTCCTCCTATTCCATGTGCTTTAATTTTCCTCAATAGTCTCTGATGTGGGACCCTGTCAAAAGCCTTACTGAAGTCCATATACACAATATCATATTCATTACCATGATCTACCTCCTCAAATACCTTAGTGAAAAAAGTTAATAAATTCGTAAGGCAGGAACGCCCCTTTGTAAAACCATGCTGAGATTCGTTGATTAATTTATGTTTTTCAAGGTGGCTACGAACTGCCTCGGCAATTATTGATTCCATAAATTTTCCCACTATGGAGGTTAGGCTTATTGGTCTATAGTTCGAAGCTAAGGACCTGTCACCTGTTTTGAAAATAGGTATCACATTTGCCATTTTCCACTTATCTGGCACCATGCCAGTTTGTAGTGATATGTTGAAAAGATTAGCCAAAGGGGTGCTAAGCTCCTCTTTACATTCCTTTAGAACCCTTGCATACAGTTCATCAGGGCCTGGGGATTTGTTAGGTTTTAATTTATCTATTTGCCTAAGGACCATGTCACTTGTGACCCTAATAGTGCACAGTTTATTATCGTCCTGTTCTACATAATTTATCATTACTGGAATATCGCTGGTATCCTCCTGTGTAAAAACTGAGAGGAAGTATGTGTTAAAAATTCTACACATTTCCTTATCACTGTCAGTGAGCTGACCCGAGGAACTTTTGAGTGGGCCTATCTTGTCCCTGATCTTACTTCTGTATACCTGAAAGAATCCTTTTGGGTTAGTCTTCGATTCTCTTGCAACTTTAACCTCATAATCTCTTTTTGCTTTTCTAATTCCCTTTTTTATTTCTCTCTTTAACTGAATATATCGATTTCTCAATTGCCCCTCTCCTCTTTTGATTTGCCTATATATGCCTCTCTTTTGACCAATCAGATATTTTAATCTATTGTTCATCCATTTAGGATCATTTTTGTTTGATCTGATTTCCCTATTTGGAACATAATTTGACTGAGCAGCTAGAACTATGCCCTGGAAAGCATCATATCGGCAACCATCACCACCTACCTGACCCTTAGTCAGGTCATTCCAGTTCAGCCCACCTAAGTAATTTTTCAGTCCTATGAAATCAGCCAAGCGAAAGTCAGGGACGGAGACTTGATTGCCATTATTAGGGGAATTCCATGATATATTAAAACTGAGTGATTTGTGATCACTTTCCCCAAGCTCATCATTAACCTCAAGATTATTAATTAGTGTTTCCCTACTGGCAAGAACGAAGTCAAGGAGGTTATTTCCCCTAGTTGGCTCTGTCACAAACTGTTTTAAAAAACAATCCTGGATCGTATCAAGAAAGTCACCTGACTCTAAATTTCCTGTCAAATTGCTCCAGTCAATCTGTCTATAGTTGAAATCTCCCATTAGCACAACATTTTCGTATGTAGATGTCTTCCGAATTTCGTCCCATAGAAGTTTACTGCACTCCCTATCAAGATTTGGGGCCCTGTAAATCACACCCAAAATTAGTTTTTCTCGGCCCTCGAGAAGCTGTAACCAAACAGATTCAGTGGCTGACGCTTCTAATTTAATATCTTGTCTAACACAACAATTTAAATTGTCTCTGACATACATCGCTACTCCACCACCTTCCTGTTGACCCTGTCAGTGTGGAATAATTTATAGCCTTGTATGTGACATTCAGAGGTCATCTCTCTATCTTTCAGATTGAGCCAGGTCTCTGTTATAGCAATAATATCTATGTTTCCTGCACTTGCAATTAATCTTAGCTCATCTATCTTATTTCTTACACTCCTGCTATTAGTATAGTAAACCTTAAGGGAGCTAGTCCCTTGCTGCCCTCTGCTGTCCCCCTTTGTCTGCTGACCTGATCTATTGTCTTTATTTATAACTTCATGCTGAATGCCTTTTATACATTTACTGTTTCCAACCCAAGTGTTGCAACCTGCTTGTTTCCCACACACACCCATACCTCTATCTTCCATCAGTTTAAAATCATAGGCATTTCACCAATGGCCTTCTCAATCGAGTCTGCAAGTGCTACCACCCCCAGCCCCAGAGAGATGTACCCCATCCCCTTGCATACATATCATGTTTGCCATAAAGTTGTTCCAGTTGTAAATGAATGGGATTGCAAGTTCCTTGCAGTATCTGTCTAGCCAGCAATTTACACCAATTGCTCTAGACAACCATTCATTTCCTACTCCCCTTCTAGGCAAGATGCTACATATGATTGGGATCCCTCCCTTAGACTTAATGAAATCTATAGCTGACCTGTACTTATCTAGCAGCTCTTCTCTCCTACCCTTCCCAATATCATTTCCACCAGCATTGAGACAGATAAGGGGCTTGTTCCCATTACCTGACATGATATTATCCAGCCTGTTGACAATGTCCCCAACACCAGCTCCAGGGAAGCACACTCTATCTCTCATCGTCTTATTCCTATTACAAAAAGCACGGTCCATATATCTTACCTGAGAGTCACCAACCACAAGAATGCGCTTACCTCCATTAGCAGGGGCAGTAGTACCCTTTTACCTTCACTGGCCACTGAAGTACATTCATCCTGAAGAACAGAGAAGCGATTTCCTACCTTCAGATCTTCACTCTTAACTTTCCTTACTCTGATGCGCCTTCCATTACTGTGAACCACTCGCCACTTGTAGCAGGTGCTGGACTGCACCTCACTGCTGGTAGCCGTTGCTACCTCCCCCACTACAGCCTCCTCACAGCGAGAGACAGACTGCACCTCACTTGAAGCCTCATTCCCCACAACTCCAGCCACCTCACACTCTCTCCCAGACCCATTGAGGTGGACCTTCAGCCTCCTAATCTCCTCCTGGAGAAGCAAGACCTCCTCCTTCAACTCTCCAACCTCAATTTTTAAAACACTGCAGAAGCAAGCCATGCTTTGTAACCGTCCACACTAATCCCCAAAGCAGCTCAGGGTCTGTGACCTCACGTGACGACTGACCACTGACAACTGACGACTGACCACTGACAACTGGGACTTCATTACCTTTGTACCTTGTTCAGCTATCAAAAATTTGGGGTCCAGTCCCTGGACCCATTATGTACCTCTGTAATCTTTTGACTACCGCCCAAAACATAGGTATGGGGTGCATAATAAAGATATTAAACTAAGCCGTAGCTGGATCGCTCGCACACTCGGCTCACACACTGAGGTCCGGAGATTGAATCCCCGTTATGGCTGGAAAACATTAGGATGTGTTTCCTTAAATACCTGTTGTCCTTGTTCACCCGTCAGTATAAAATGGTACCTGGGTGTTAGTCAACTGATGTGGGTCGCATCCTGGGACAAAACTCAGCTAATTTGATCGAAATGCTCTGCATAACAAGCAGCTTTCTATATAGTGGTATGTCATTGATATCAGCTAGACCTGTATTGTATACCTTGTACATGTAGAAATAGAGATATTATTATTATCATTATTAATTTTTTTTTTATTAACAAGTCAGCCGTCTCCCACCGAGGCAGGGTGACCCAAAAAGAAAGAAAATCCCCAAAAAGAGAATACTTTCATCATCATTCAACACTTTCACCTCACTCACACATAATCACTGTTTTTGCAGAGGTGCCTAGAATACAACAGTTTAGAAGTATATACGTATAAAAATACACAATATATCCCTCCAAACCGCCAATATCCCAAACCCCTCCTTTAAAGTGCAGGCATTGTACTTCCCATTTCCAGGACTCAAGTCCAGTTATATAAAATAACCGGTTTCCCTGAATCCCTTCACTAAATATTACCCTGCTCACACTCCAACAGCTTGTCAAGTCCCAAATACCATTCGTCTCAATTCACTCCTATCACTGCATTCACTCCATCAATGTCTAATATTCAGACTATGAATTCTCTGCATAATATTCACACTCGAACATTGCCATCAGATATAACGTCTCCACTGTCTCCAGCCTCCTCCTTATTGCAACGTTTAAAACCCATGTTTCACATCCATATAAACATTGGTACCACTGTACTCTGCTATATTCCCCTTTTTGCCTCCATAGATAACGTTCTTAGTTGCCACAGATGCCACACTGCACTATCCACCTGTTTCCCTTCACCAGTTCTGTGGTTTACCTCATCTTTCACAGACCCATAATTTTTTTTTTTAATTTCATCACCATGGTGTTTCCTGTGTGCTTTTAATTCCCTTTGCATAATATCCCAAATTTGTGTACCAACCTTTTCAACTTCTCTTCAGAAATTCCCATTTTGTATAAGATTCTTTGTCTTTTAATCATACACCTCTCCCCAACACCCTGGCATTCACTTGTTTTAGAACTTAATCTTAAAATAATTTTAGTGGAAAATAACATTAAGATAGGATTTTATGTATTTTAATACCTGTACCAACTTCCTTTAGAACTTTTTTATGCATTAAATTCCTTTAAAGAATTTAAAATGATTGAATTGGTCTAATTGCTTTTACTTAATACAGTAAAATGTAAACTCACTTTACACAATCATTCCTTCAAGTGAAGTGCCTTGATTCTGGTGAAGGGATCTTGATCTAAGTAAGTGGACCTATCTTCCCATTCCTTGGATCAAATCTGATTACCTCACATTTTCTGTGAGGTTTAGCACCCTCCAATTATAATATATAATCTATACAATCATTTCAGTATGAATTAGATACTGTTCATTTAATTAAACATGCTGTAACACTAGATTGTTATATACTGTAAAATAAATGGCCAAAACATTTCATACAACACTGGATAAATGTATAGATGTAAAAGTAGTTACATGAACTGTACTATCTATTTCTTGCACTACAGTTTTTTTAATAACCGTTAATATCAGATTGGAGGGAGAGAGTATGGAGGAGGTGAATGTATTCAGATATTTGGGAGTGGACGTGTCAGCGGATGGGTCTATGAAAGATGAGGTGAATCATAGAATTGATGAGGGGAAAAGAGTGAGTGGTGCACTTAGGAGTCTGTGGAGACAAAGAACTTTGTCCTTGGAGGCAAAGAGAGGAATGTATGAGAGTATAGTTTTACCAACGCTCTTATATGGGTGTGAAGCATGGGTGATGAATGTTGCAGCGAGGAGAAGGCTGGAGGCAGTGGAGATGTCATGTCTGAGGGCAATGTGTGGTGTGAATATAATGCAGAGAATTCGTAGTTTGGAAGTTAGGAGTAGGTGCGGGATTACCAAAACTGTTGTCCAGAGGGCTGAGGAAGGGTTGAGGTGGTTCGGACATGTAGAGAGAATGGAGCGAAACAGAATGACTTCAAGAGTGTATCAGTCTGTAGTGGAAGGAAGGCGGGGTAGGGGTCGGCCTAGGAAAGGTTGGAGAGAGGGGGTAAAGGAGGTTTTGTGTGCGAGGGGCTTGGACTTCCAGCAGGCATGCGTGAGCATGTTTGATAGGAGTGAATGGAGACAAATGGTTTTTAATACTTGACGTGCTGTTGGAGTGTGAGCAAAGTAACATTTATGAAGGGGTTCAGGGAAACCGGCAGGCCGGACTTGAGTCCTGGAGATGGGAAGTACAGTGCCTGCACTCTGAAGGAGGGGTGTTAATGTTGCAGTTTAAAAACTGTAGTGTAAAGCACCCTTCTGGCAAGACAGTGATGGAGTGAATGATGGTGAAAGTTTTTCTTTTTTGGGCCACCCTGCCTTGGTGGGAATTGGCCAGTGGGATAATAAAAAAAAATAATAGTTTTCATGTTATATTTCAGCCTGAAGAAAGATTGGAAAGATGCCTACTGTCATTCTTTTGGATGTGTCACTGTCAATGAGTCGTGGTGTGGATATAGCAAGCCCCTGCCCAGAAGATGAGAACGTTGAGGGCTTAATGTTGAGGAAAGATCTTGCTGTTCATGGCTGTAACATTCTCCTTGATCATTTCATCCAGCATTGCAAGTTAGAGTTTGCATCTTTGGTGAGGAGACATAATTAAGTAAAATGCTCTGCTACATTTTATAAATGTTGGATGGTAGTGCCAACAATTTTAGTATTACAAGTACTGGAGTTCTGCTTTGTAACGTACATTTATACAAGATTGCTAACCAGCAATCTAAAATTCTTCAATACATACATTTGTGATTAATTTTCAAAGTGGAAAAATTTTGTTAGTGTTTTAAAAAAGTTTTGTTTTCAGCTGAGTGACATAAATTATAACTGGTTGGTATGATTTATTGATATCAGCATTACTTCTTGCACTTAAGTGCAAGAAGTAATGCTGTATAAAACATCTACAATATTCATACTGTCTTCCACAGATAGTATTCTCATCAGTCTATAAAGTTCTGATGCCATTCACTAGAGACTTTGAATCAATTAAGACTGCTTTGAATTTAGTTGAAGAGTGTGACAAAACCAGCATTGACGTTGGACTCGTTGGAGCAGCACAACATATTCTAGAGGAGTGGGGCAATGGGACACCTTGTCAGGTAAGTGCAACATCTATGGTGACTTTTGACTTAGTTTTTTGGTCAAGATTTTTTCTAATTGGAAATTTTTTCTTGCTGACTTTTCATAAATAACTTACAATCTGTTTAATGTGCTAAAATTATTAGTAATTACATTACACACTTTTATACAGTACCTTTAAAGTGAAAATTGCATTTTCATTCAAGAATCAGTACTCTTTTTCTTTCTTCTTCAACAAACCAGCCATATCCCACTGAAGCAGGGTGGCCCAAAAAGAAAAACAAGTTTCTCTTTTTAACTTTAGTAATGTATACAGGAGAAGGGATTACTAGCCCCTTGCTTCTGGCATTTTAGTCGCCTCCTATGGCTTGCATGGCTTACCGAGGAAGGATTCTGTTCCACTTCCCCATAGAGATACATGGAAATAAACAAGAACAAGAACTAGTAATAAGATGGAAGAAAACCCAGAAGGGAGTGTGAATATACATGCTTGTACATGTATGTATAGTGTGAATTAAGTGTAAGTAGAAGTAGCAAGACATACCTGAAATCTTACATGTTTATGAGACAGAAAAAAGACACCAGCAATCCTACCGTCATGTAAAACAATTACAGGTTTCTGTTTCACACTCACTTGGCAGGATGGTAGTACCTCTCTGGGTGGTTGCTGTCTACCAACCTACCACCTAGGTACTCTTGTTATATAATAATAATAATAATAATAATAATAATAATAACAGTAACTTTTTTTTTTTTTTCAACAAGTCAGCCGTCTCCCACCGAGGCAGGGTGACCCAAAAAAAAAAGAAAGAAAATCCCCAAAAAGAAAATACTTTCATCATCATTCAACACTTTCACCACACTCGCACATTATCACTGTCTTTGCAGAGGTGCTTAGAATACAACAGTTTAGAAGTATACACATATAAAGATACACAACATTTCCCTCCAAACTGCCAATATCCCAAACCCCTCCTTTAAAGTGCAGGCATTGTACTTCCCATTTCCAGGACTCAAGTCCGACTATATGAAAATAACCGGTTTCCCTGAATCCCTTCACTAAATATTACCCTGCTCACACTCCAACAGATCGTCAGGTCCCAAGTACCATTCGTCTCCATTCACTCCTATCTAACACGCTCACGCACGCTTGCTGGAAGTCCAAGCCCCTTGCCCACAAAACCTCCTTTACCCCCTCTCTCCAACCCTTTCGAGGACGACCCCTATCTCGCCTTCCTTCCCCTATAGATTTATATGCTTTCCATGTCATTCTACTTTGATCCATTCTCTCTAAATGACCAAACCACCTCAACAACCCCTCTTCTGCCCTCTCACTAATACTTTTATTAACTCCACACCTTTTCCTAATTTCCACACTCCGAATTTTCTGCATAATATTTACATCACACATTGCCCTTAAACAGGACATCTCCACTGCCTCCAACCGTCTCCTCGCTGCTGCATTTACCACCCAAGCTTCACACCCATATAAGAGTGTTGGTACTACTATACTTTCATACATTCCCTTCTTTGCCTCCATAGATAATGTTTTTTGACTCCACATATACCTCAACGCACCACTCACCTTTTTTCCCTCATCAATTCTATGATTAACCTCATCCTTCATAAATCCATCCGCCGACACGTCAACTCCCAAGTATCTGAAAACATTCACTTCTTCCATACTCCTCCTCCCCAATTTGATATCCAATTTTTCTTATCTAAATCATTTGATACCCTCATCACCTTACTCTTTTCTATGTTCACTTTCAACTTTCTAACCTTTACACACATTCCCAAATTCATCCACTAACCTTTGCAATTTTTCTTTAGAATCTCCCATAAGCACAGTATCATCAGCAAAATGTAACTGTGTCAATTCCCATTTTGAATTTGATTCCCCAAAATTTAATCCCACCCCTCTCCCGAACACCCTAGCATTTACTTCCTTTACAACCCCATCTATAAATATATTAAACAACCATGGTGACATTACACATCCCTGTCTAAGACCTACTTTTACCGGGAAGTAGTCTCCCTCTCTTCTACACACCCTAACCTGAGCCTCACTATCCTCATAAAAACTCTTTACAGTATTTAATAACTTACCACCTATTCCATATACTTGCAACATCTGCCACATTGCTCCTGTATCCACTCTATCATATGCCTTTTCTAAATCCATAAATACAATAAAAACTTCCCTATCTTTATCTAAATACTGTTCACATATATGCTTCAATGTAAACACTTGATCTACACATCCCCTACCCACTCTGAAACCTCCTTGCTCATCCACAATCCTACATTCTGTCTTACCCTCTAATTCTTTCAATTATAACCCTACCGTACACTTTTCCTGGTATACTCAGTAAACGTATTCCTCTCTAATTTTTACAGTCTCTTTTGTCCCCTTTCCCTTTATATAAAGGGACTATACATGCTCTCCACCAATCCCTAGGTACCTTCCCCTCTTTCATACATTTATTAAACAAAAGTACCAACCACTCCAACACTATATCCCCCCCTGCTTTTAACATTTCTGTCATGATCCCATCAGTTCCAGCTGCTTTACCCCCTTTCATTTTACGTAATGCCTCACGTACCTCCCCCACACTTACATTCTGCTCTTCTTCACTCCTAAAAGATGGTAAAAGAGCCATGTGTATCGTAAAAGATGACTAAAATGCCAGGAGCAAGGGGCCAGTAACCCCTTCTCCTGTATAAATTACTAAATTTAAGAAGAACTTTTGTTTTTCTTTTTAGGTCACCCTGCCTTGGTGGGATACAGCCGGTTCATTGAAAAAAATAATAAAAGACTACGTGTTTATTTAATAAGCTTATTGTTTGCAGATTGTTTTAGTGACTGATGGTAATGCAGGCACAGGACAGCATTCATTACAGAAGTCAATGATGTCTTCGCATTCCCGAGGAGCGTCACAATTTCCATTACCATTTCCATTTCCTGCTAAACTGACCATTGTTTGTATTGCAAATCCCACTGAGCCATGCCTTCAGGTACAATATTTTAGCTTGCATTTTTTTTATTTATTGTTGAATATGTGAAATTATCACACAGAGTTGCACAGAAGTTTCAGTACAGCAATGTGAATGAAGACTTGGAAGCAGCATTTTAAACTTTGGCTTTAGATTTTGTTTGCTAGGTTAAGTACTGCCTATATAAACATTCATGACATTTGCATACTAAGAAAAAAACCATAAACATGGATGAAGATTGTCTTAATAGATGTAAATGCTTGAAAGAATAGTAGGAAGAAGCTTGAAAAATTTAGAAACCACCAGGGAAAGTATAAGGGATTAAAAAGAATATAAATGTAGGCAGTAGACTGTTGGTTAACACATGATCTGTTAACACATGATCTGTTAATACCTTTTTGCCTTAACATGATTCCATATTGTGGCACTTTTTTGGTGAGCATGCTGTATTAATCAGTTTACATGACGGAATAACATGTAGGGAAAAATGTCGCACATGCTGTGGTCTTCCCCCCACCTCACAGTGAAGCTTAGGGCAAGTCCATTGTCTTATGTGGGAAGCCTACAAAATGTACACAACCTTCTTCACCTCAGTGCTCTGTTTGCATCAAATTTCATACTCAGCCTGCTTTAGTGAGTTGATTTTTTATTTTTCATCACCCATCTTGTCTCTTGGATAGTAACCCAAAAGGAATGTGAATGATACTGGAAGTGCAAAGAAGCAGAAGTGTTAAAATCTTGGTGTTTTGAAGAAAATTGAGATATTAGATAAGCTTAAGGGTGGCACATCTGTGATGGAGACAGTTCACAGCTTGAGTGAGGCTTCACTTCACACAATTTGACTAATAACACCACCCTTTGAAAGACTTTCTTGATGTGTGATATTAATGCTACTGGTCTATATTTTTGACAGTGCTCTACTGCCTTCTTTGTGTATATGAACCATGAGTGCACTTTTAAAGATCTTTAGGATTTTACCTGAATTGAAGCTCTTGAAGGTTTTAGTTAAAAACTGAGATCTCTTAAATGCTTGTGGTTGTTTAATATATTTATAGATGGGTTGTAAGAGAAGTAAATGCGAGGGTCTTGGCAAGAGGCGTGGAGTTAAAAGATAAAGAATCACACACAAAGTGGGAGTTGTCACAGCTGCTCTTTGCTGATGACACTGTGCTCTTGGGAGATTCTGAAGAGAAGTTGCAGAGATTGGTGGATGAATTTGGTAGGGTGTGCAAAAGAAGAAAATTAAAGGTGAATACAGGAAAGAGTAAGGTTATGAGGATAACAAAAAGATTAGGTGATGAAAGATTGAATATCAGATTGGAGGGAGAGAGTATGGAGGAGGTGAACGTATCAGATATTTGGGAGTGGACGTGTCACGGATGGGTCTATGAAAGATGAGGTGAATCATAGAATTGATGAGGAAAAGAGTGAGTGGTGCACTTAGGAGTCTGTGGAGACAAAGAACTTTGTCCTTGGAGGCAAAGAGGGGAATGTATGAGAGTATAGTTTTACCAACGCTCTTATATGGGTGTGAAGCGTGGGTGATGAATGTTGCAGCGAGGAGAAGGCTGGAGGCAGTGGAGATGTCATGTCTGAGGGCAATGTGTGGTGTGAATATAATGCAGAGAATTAGTAGTTTGGAAGTTAGGAGGAGGTGCGGGATTACCAAAACTGTTGTCCAGAGGGCTGAGGAAGGGTTGTTGAGGTGGTTCGGACATGTAGAGAGAATGGAGCGAAACAGAATGACTTCAAGAGTGTATCAGTCTGTAGTGGAAGGAAGGCGGGGTAGGGGTCGGCCTAGGAAGGGTTGGAGGGAGGGGTAAAGGAGGTTTTGTGTGCGAGGGGCTTGGACTTCCAGCAGGCATGCGTGAGCGTGTTTGATAGGAGTGAATGGAGACAAATGGTTTTTTAATACTTGACGTGCTGTTGGAGTGTGAGCAAAGTAACATTTATGAAGGGATTCAGGGAAACCGGCAGGCCGGACTTGAGTTCTGGAGATGGGAAGTACAGTGCCTGCACTCTGAAGGAGGGGTGTTAATGTTGCAGTTTAAAAACTGTAGTGTAAAGCACCCTTCTGGCAAGACAGTGATGGAGTGAATGATGGTGAAAGTTTTTCTTTTTCGGGCCACCCTGCCTTGGTGGGAATCGGCCGGTGTGATAATAAAAAAAAAAAATATATAAATAAAGTACTCAGGGAATCTGGTCGATATACAGCATGTGTGGGCATGATTTCCATTTCATTTTTGAATTCTAAAGTAATTGTGTTTGTCAGATATATATGATTTGTAGGTTGGGAAGAGGTAGTTAAAAACTATCTGGATTCTCAATTTTCCTATTTGTTAGTGGATGGCTGAACATTGATTTATGCTGTTCTTTCAGGATTTTGCTAATTACTTTTATGTTATTGGTGTGTGAACCTCCTATGAGTAGTGAGTGAATTCTTGAGGTGGTTTTTGACTTGGATTTTTGCATTGTGAAGAAATATTTATAAATTTTTCCAATATCCTGAATATCATTTTGTGCTTCTTACATATGGTATGAATGCTTAAGTTTCTGCTCCATATCAGTGCAGATTATCTTTTGTTGTGACATATTCTCATTTTTAAGAAGTTCAGCATCCCTTTGTTCTTCTGTGTGTTCTTTTATATCCTATTGGAAAGTTTCTTTCTAGACTTTCTCAGCAGAACATATTTTATACAGACCTGGTATGCTTCTGTGATCAGCTTTTCCATGCACTGGTGTGGGTTAAGGTACTCAGGATCAAATGTTTCATAATTCTTTATTTTTCTCAATCCAGTGTCTGGTTGTTGAAATTAAATTTACTGAACATTTCTTCACACTGGTTATTTCTTAGGCACTCTATGGTTGAATTTATACTTGTCTGTATATCAGTGAGGGTGTGATCAGATTATATTGTATTTGAGATCATGGATCTGATCAGTTTCCTGGTGAAAAGAAGGGAAGACAAGGCACCAGAGGATCTGGCAATAGAAACATGGAAGAGTATCAGAGTATCACATGTATAACATCAAAAACTAGAGTGGTTATCCCTTTGACTGTCGCAAGCCCCTTTCTGGAACTGTCTATGTCGCAAAATTTTTGGGAAAAAAAAATAATTTTTTCTTATGAAATGATAGAGAATCTTTTTCCGATGATAATGACACAAAAAGTACGAAATTTGGTCGAAAACTCGCAGAATTACGCTCCCGCGAAGTTAGCGGTCTCAGCGACATATACGCATCGGCAATTTCGCCGACTTTGAGCCCTGTTTTTAGCCAATTCCGTTGTTCCAGTTGACCAAACTCATAGCTATTTCTTTAGAACTCCATTTTTTCTATCAGTTCAGTACAAGAAACTGCCCATTTACCGATTTGAACTACCCAATAAAGTGGTCAGAAATTTGCAATTTGGCCAATTTCATACAATTTAAAAAGATGTCAATTTCAAAATAGGGTCCAGAATAAATAATGTAGACATTCTTGGCACTAAAATAACATATCCTCTGTTCATTAGTCATGTCTCTAGGCCCCTCTTATATTACTATTGCTTTCTATTTTGATTTTTTATTCATACAAAAAATACAAAATTTACTGTTATGCAGACTACAGCATTATTGTAAAAATGGTATAAATAATATCAGTGCACTAGTGAATGAATATTAGACTCCCCAGTTGATGTGTATTGGACGTGTGGTGTGATTTGCTTACTCCTGAACATTGGTAAAAATAAAAAATTTCCGCTACTTTGAGCTCAATTTCAAGGTCGTTTTCATCATGAAACTAATCAAAATCATCTCTATTTCTGTAATATGTTTTCCATTTTATCGCGTGAGACCATAAAAACGAGAATCCAATGATAAATACTATACGAAAATATACACCTCAAAGTCGGCATTTTAATCCAAAAAAACGGTCTTTTTTTTTTTTCTCATTATGCCCTGCGTGCTGCAGGATTTTTTTTATGTGGTGCACACTGACCACACAGACCCATTCTCTCACATGTGGGCCTACCAGCTTTCTCCTGATTGATTTGAAGCCGCTAGAATTTACGCGTATAAATACGTCCGAAACAGTGGCGCGTAAGACTATATATACAACCAAAACAGTCAAAGGGTTAATGAAGAGTTTATCATAGCAGGGATAAAGGGAGAGATGCAATATCTGCCAGTACAGTGTTCAAAGATCACCCAGAGATTCACTTTTGATCTCTGGAACATTTAAGAAACATGACTTCACTGGTGTTCTTTATAAAATTGGTTTCTAATGAAATGCTCCATGTGGTGCAAAGGCTCCTCTAAGATATACACATACCTGAATCTTGCACATGGCCCTGTTCTCTCAGACATGGATGAGGAACTTAATAACCATGAACTGAACAATACATATGAGGAAAATAGTTTTGTCATGCATGAAAGTCTGGAATGCCTTCCATGTAGACTTGTGCTGGAGTTGAGTGGATGCCCAATGGGAAGTAGAGTAGATGGCTGAAATGGAAAAGCAGAAGCACTAAGGGTATGTCAAACCCCCTTATAAATAAACATATCATTTAGTTTGGGAAGAGTATGTTCAATCTATGTCTGAACTACAGAAATGTTTACAGTGTTTGTGAGACTATGTAAATCCCCAGCTGAATAAACTGAACAAGGGATCCTGCTTTAACATGGTATGTATGAAAAGCACAGTGTGGAAGAGCACAGTAAATATCCACATTAATGATTAATATTCTCTATGATTGAGAGGTTTTGATTAAACTGACAGAGAGGCAATGTGGAACTGGATTCTTGCATCTTAAAACAGCATAGGGCATGTAGTTGTATACAAGAATGTAAAGAGATGAATTACTAGACAGGTAGTTATGGTGTTATAGAGGTTAAACTAACAAATTACTATTTCTATTAGAGGCTCATGGAACCTTTCAAAGAAAGTAGTTGTCATATTTGACAATTTTATTAAATTGGATCCTTGAGTCTGTATTGGTTTTACATATCAAGAGATGCAAAATTAACTCATGTAGGCAGAAAAGGGTCCCTTTTAATTAGATGTTCTAGTTTCTCATGAAGGGTCTGCAAAATAGGAAAGTGAATTATATATAATCAGACTGCATTACATTACAGTGTATTGTAATATTTTTAATGTATCTTATAATAATATTAAATAATTTCAGACATCTAAACCATTATATCAGAGGCTGATAGAACTTAATGGAGAGGGAGATATTTTAGTTCCTGATGGTTCCCTTAGCAAAAAGGTAAGGAAAGTAATTTAATTGTTCCAAATGTTTGGAAATTGATCAAGAATGTAGTTGTTAATATAATTTCAAGAATTTTAAAAGATTAATATATCAATTTTTTTTAAAGTCTCATAAAAAGGTAAGGTGAGAGTGGGTTAATGTGGCAGTCTCTGAAGTTCTAGTTTAGCCTTTTCTGAGGTACAATAATCAAAAGCAGAGGATTAAAGACAGTACAGTAGTGAAATTTGCAAAATTTTTTATCATGTATGTGAAACTTCCATAAAATGGACTAATGGGGGAAATTGGTGTCCACTTCAATGAAAATCCGTTACACTGAAAGTCTCGATTAAGCGGACCATGTCTGCTTAATCAGTTGTCTACTGGACATGGACAAATGCTCAGTAAAGTAGACTTAGTTCACTGCATTGATGACAACCAGACATACAAATAAAAAACTGTAATGCAGGGGGGCTCCATTTTACAGTGCTTTGCTAATTCAGTGTTTTTCAATTATATCCATTGTTCATTTATTCAGACTTCCTACAATAAATGTATTCACCACTTACTATGTCCCTCTCTTCCTCCTCTCCCTCTCTTCCTCCTCTCCCTCTCTTCCTCCTCTCCCTCTCTTCCTCCTCTCCCTCTCCTCTCTTCCTCTCTTCCCCTCTCCCTCTCTCCTCCTCTCCCTCTCTTCCTCCTCCCTCTCCTCTCTCCTCTCTTCCTCTCCCTCTCTTCCTCCTTTCCCTCTCTCTCCTTCCCTTCCTCCCTTTTCTTCTCTCTCCCTTTTTATCCCTCTCCCTCTTTCTTTTATTTACTAGCCCCTTGTTCCTGGCTTGTTAGTCGCCTGTTACGACACACATGGCTTATGGAGGAAGAATTCTTTTCCACCTTCCCATGGAAATAAGAGGAAATAAAGAAGAACAAGAACTATTAAGAAAATAGAAGAAAACCCAGATAGGTGTGTAAACATATACTGTATGAGTATTCATGCATGTGTAGTGTGACCTAAGTGTAAGTAGAAGTAGCAAGATATACCTGTTATCTCGTGTGTTTCTGAAACAGAAAAAAATACACCAGTAGTCATGCCATCATGTAAAACAATTATAGGTTTCCGTTTCACACTCACTTGGCAGGATGGTAGTACCTCCCTGGGCTGGTTGCTGTCTACCAACCTACTGTCTAGGCCATGTGTAATTATTGGTAATAATATTAACAGTAGTTATTTAAATGGACACGTATGTAACTTAATGAGACATTTATTAAAGCAATATTTCACTCAGCAACACTTGAGACTTTAAACATATGACACCATTTTCACTTGAGGTACCTTATACTACCACCACCATCCTCCACTATCCACTGCCACCATCACCACTATCTACTGCCACCATCTACCACAATCCACTGCCACCATCCACCACTACCAACACTTATCTACCATCATCATCCATCACTGCCATCTGGGGTGGAAGGAAAGAGGGATAGGGGGTCATCCTATTCAAGGTTGGAGGGAGGAGGTAAATGAGATTTAGAGTGCTAGGGACTTGGACATCCAGCAGGCTGTTGGAGTGTGAGTAAGTTAACATTGTGTAGGGACTCAGGCAACCAGCTAGCTGGACTGAGTTCTGGAAATGGGAAGTACAGTGTCTGTACTCAGAAGAAGGGATGGGGATGTTGCGGGTTGGAAGGCTCTCTTTAAATGTGAGGTCAGTGACCTTCTGGCAAGACAGTTATTGAATGAATGACAGTGAGAGCATTTTCTTCCTAGTTGGGTCACTCTACCTTGGGAGATGGCTTGTGTTTAAATCTTTTTATTTATGTAAATAATTGTTGTGTACCATATACAGTGCCATAAAGTTATTAAAACCATATACATGTAACTGGTGATGCTTTTTTTTTCACTGTACTACATGAGGTATGTTTTGTCATGCAGACTGTAACAGAGATGTTTGACCAGCTGATCAAGAACAATTTCTCCTCATACTCTGGGACTCTTCACTGTGGCAACTTGTCTGCTCCTGTCACCTTGTCACCTCCACCTCAAGTAAGTTTCTCCCTACAACTTCACCCTTTATGGGGGGTGAGTGCCTTGATGCTGGTGAAGGGCTCTTGATCCAGGGAATTTAAACTGCTCTTTCCTTCCTTGGGTCATACCTTATTACTTCCCATTTCTCAGGTGCTTTCTGATCTCTACAGGCTTAGTACTTTCCTGTGAATATAAAATAGTAATCTGCAGTTCAAAGTTCCTAAACTACTTGTTACAGCAGTGACAAAAGGGTTGATGTAATGCCTAAGTTTTAATTCACCAGGTTTTTGGTTAAACAAATCTCTAATACAATTGGTATTGTCTCTAATTGGTCTCTAATACAATTGGTATTGTATTAGAGTATTGGTATTGTACTGGTATTGTATTAGTATTTAATTTTTTGTTTAACTAATTTTAAGACTGATATTTGGCAATTCAGATTTGTACAGTTACAGTAAAACCGATTAGTTATATTGGAAGCAGATACAGTGTCTATTTTTAATTTCCTGGCATATATGGTTTGACCAAAAATATTATGAATAAAACAGGTGCAACACTTTCATATCTTTATTGTCAGCAATGCAAAGACAAAAAGAATGCAGATGTAATATATACAGACTTTGCAAAAGCCTTTGACAAGTGTGACCATGGTGTAATAGCGCACAAAATGCGTGCTAAAGGAATAACAGGAAAAGTTGGTCGATGGATCTATAATTTCCTCACAAACAGAACACAAAGAGTAGTAGTCAACAGAGTAAAGTCCGAGGCAGCTACGGTGAAAAGCTCTGTTCCACAAGGCACAGTACTCGCTCCCATCTTGTTCCTCATCCTCATATCTGACATAGACAAGGATGTCAGCCACAGCACCGTGTCTTCCTTTGCAGATGACACCCGAATCTGCATGACAGTGTCTTCCATTGCAGACACTGCAAGGCTCCAGGCGGACATCAACCAAACCTTTCAGTGGGCTGCAGAAAACAATATGAAGTTCAATGATGAGAAATTTCAATTACCTAGATATGGTAAACACAAGGAAATTAAATCTTCATCAGAGCACAAAACAAATTCCGGCCACAAAATAGAGCGTAACACCAACGTCAAAGACCTGGGAGTGATCATGTCGGAGGATCTCACCTTCAAGGACCATAACATTGTATCAATCGCAGCTGCTAGAAAAATGACAGGATGGATAATGAGAGCCTTCAAAACTAGGAATGCCAAGCCCATGATGACACTCTTCAGGTCACTTGTTCTATCTATGCTGGAATATTGCTGCACACTAACAGCACCTTTCAAGGCAGGTGAAATTGCTGACCTAGAAAATGTACAGAGAACCTTCACGGCACGCATAACGGAGATAAAACACCTCAATTACTGGGAGTGCTTGAGGTTCCTGAACCTTTTATTCCCTGGAATGCAGGCGGGAGAGGATACATGATTATATACACCTGGAAAATCTAGAGGGACTAGTACCGAACTTGCACACGAAAATCACTCACTACGAAAGCAAAAGACTTGGCAGATGATGCAACATCCCCCCAATGAAAAGCAGGGGTGTCACTAGCACGCTAAGAGACAATACATTAAGTGTCAGGGGCCCGAGACTGTTCAACTGCCTCCCAGCATACATAAGGGGGATTACCAACAGACCCCTGGCAGTCTTCAAGCTGGCACTGGACAAGCACCTAAAGTCAGTACCTGACCAGCCGGGCTGTGGCTCGTACGTTGGTTTGCGTGCAGCCAGCAGTAACAGCCTGGTTGATCAGGCTCTGATCCACCAGGAGGCCTGGTCACAGACCGGGCCGCGGGGGCGTTGACCTTCGGAACTCTCTCCAGGTAAACTCCAGGTAACTCTAGGTAATATGGTAGTACTTTCCTGAAAATTGCATTTAATCAAAAAATTTGTAAAATGACCTGAAGAACATCTGGAAAAATAGGGTTATTTTCCTTAGAACCCCTAAGAGTCATCCAATTTTTTTAGGTCTCAAAATTGTAAAAATAAAAGAAAAAAAGTAAAACATAAATAATCCAGATGTAGGAAAATGAAACTTATGACATTTTGGGTTGACTTAGACCATTAACTAGTCACACAAAAGCATGAAGGGAATGGAGCCAGTATATATACGAGAGGAGGGCTGGGCCAGGAGTAATAGAGGTAGTATAACGGGCTTGTTTGGTATTCTGGTAGCGGGTGGTTAAATGATATACGTCTTCGGATGCTTCTTACTTTATTGATAACTAGTGTTGGGTTACACAGGCTTGTGTGTTTGTGCCCATGGCCCGGGAGGGCCATGCCCTACGAGAGAGAGCTGGGAGGCCTTGTGTGTTGTTGCTAGGCCGCTGTGAGAGTGAGGGCGAGGCAAGTCTGGGCATACTGAAGTGGCAAGGCCTAGGTGGCAGCACCAGCATAGCGCGAAATATGAACTAAGCTGGCAGACAGCATGGGCTGTCTGTGCAGACAGTACAGGCTGTCTACATACGCTCGGCCACCTACCGCTCGTCGTCCCGACGCGACAATACTGGTAGTAAAAGAAACTCAGTCTCTCTCTCTCGTAGGAACAGGGCACAGAACACAAAATAAAAACATATATATACATATGGACATGGAAAAAAAACTTCCTACAGGGAGGGAAGAAAAAACATGTGGGGTGTGTTAAACATCGTGGTCATAGGCAGTGAGCGTCGATGGGCATCACTGCACGCCTTCCTGCGTCTGGACAGATACTGCAACACGGGAGACATCGCTGTGGCTGAGCTGTGACGTAACAGGGTACGGTCTCCTCTGGAACGGTTGGAAGCAGACATCGTAGGAGTCGCTGCAGGTTTTCACTCAACCTGGGGCACGACATGCTGGTGCCCTCGAGTGAGGCGTCGACAAAACTCGGCAACTGGGCAGGACTTCTGGCAAGCGACTCAGGACACTTCTCGACTGGTACTGTCGCTGGGCTGTCACTGCCGGCGAGCGTGGAGCGAGTTGTGGAGCGAGTCGTGGCAGAGACGACTGGGCGAAACATCTGGGAGTCGTAACATCATACACCAGACTGCAGTGAGAGAGCTAGCAGTCAAAGTGACATCTTTGTGCAGGCTGCTCACTGAAGCTTGTGACACGAGGCTGACACAGCGCCTGCCGACAGGCCTGGCTGCGGCTTGACGAGTATCATCTCTCGACAGTTGGAGTTATAGCAGAGGTTAGCCTAAGCGTCCCCAGACTTGTTTCTCTACATATAACTGCACTCTGAAGGTCTGGAGGTGAAGTGAAACAAATCTCGATGGGAATCGTAGCAGGTATGATTCTGCAGAACATCACGAGCGACGAGCATAAAAGCTTTCTGTACAAGAGGGCTCATACGCTCAGGGCTGAGTAATCAGCTGTCAAACACACTGGTCATACGGGTGACTTAGCACAGTGGTGCAACTCAAGGGTCTGACCACAGACCTCACTCGACACACGGAAACTTTAAAAACGTACCGCTGTACATATGGTACAACATGGCTTAACTAGCAAATGATGCTTTTCTGTGCACAAAACTGACACTAAGACATATACTAAAATGTGAGAACACTGACTGAGAGGAATTAATTAACACACGACATATATTTTCTCTCAATCTTCTCGACAATACTGAAATAATTACTGAACACTCGATGGTGACATCATGTGATGTCAGGCGTGATGTCGCGAGGTGACGTCAGCAGGACTGTGACGTCAGCAGACATCTCGAGGTGACGTCAGGCAGACATCGTGAGGTGACGTCAGCAGACATCTCGAGGTGACGTCAGGCAGACATCGTGAGGTGACGTCAGCAGACATCGTGAGGTCATGAAGTCGGGCAGCATCGTGGGTGACGTCGATGTGATGCGGGCAGCAGACCACAGCATGTGGCCTGGGATATCTGGTAACTCACGTGGCTTTGTAGGTCTACGTGACATCGGCCACACACAACGTGGTGTCGATCCACGTGGTGTCGTGATCTACGTGGCATGCTGATCCACGCAGCTTCGAGTGGCCTCGGGCACTCGGATACACAGTTCTGGCAATGAATTCACATGGAAAACAGCAGAAAACACAGCAGAGGGAGTGGGCAGTGGTGAGTGTATGGTAGTGTGGTGGCGAGGAGCGTGGGTGAGTGTATGGCAGGGCGAGCATCTAGCCATTCCTCCTCCTCCTCCTCCTCCACCCACAAACACGTGGAGAAGCTCACACTGGACGCAGAAATCACCACAAAACTCACCTCTGGCTTGCTGAAACGGCTGTGCTGAGCTGAACAACAACAGCAACATACAAGTGACGCTGAACACGTGACTTGAGAAACAGCGTGGGACACTGTAGCGTGGGACGCTGTAGCGTGGGGTCACTGTGACGCCACTTACAATTCTCGGAGAATTTCGGCAAATTTCGGCCTGGATCCTGCTTGTACCTGTGTCTGGATGCTCAAACGTGCAGACACGACATCAGGATAACTCGTTGAGAGACGGATGCTTCTTGTGTAGGGTGATGAAGTGAAGATGACTTCATACCTCTTCCTCCCTCTCTCTAGGCAAACACAACTGCTGCAAGCACCGCTGTCACCATTTATAACGGGCTTGTTTGGTATTCTGGTAGCGGGTGGTTAAATGATATACGTCTTCGATGCTTCTTACTTTATTGATAACTAGTGTTGGGTTACACAGGCTTGTGTGTTTGTGCCCATGGCCCGGGAGGGCCATGCCCACGAGAGAGAGCTGGGAGGCCTTGTGTGTTGTTGCTAGGCCGCTGTGAGAGTGAGGGCGAGGCAAGTCTGGGCATACTGAAGTGGCAAGGCCTAGGTGGCAGCACCAGCATAGCGCGAAATATGAACTAAGCTGGCAGACAGCATGGGCTGTCTGTGCAGACAGTACAGGCTGTCTACAGTAGTAGCAGTGGAAGTAGTGGTAGAGATAGTGGAAGTAGTAGTAAGTAGTATAAGTAATGCATCAGTGGCAGAAGTGGCAGTAAGAAGGTAGTAGTGGAATCCCCAGAACACCTTCCAGGTATACTC